TTGTAAATCTGAATTTTGAAATGGGAAGTTTAAAAATCTGGAAGGCCATAATTTCCACTTTTTATAAACTAGGCTGAAATGGCCCCATTCCTCCCCAATCCTCTGAAGCCCATTTCTAAAACAATGCTCAAAATTGCAAAGTATCCCAAAACCTATTGTTCTTGTGTCTCTCCCCCCTCTCCCCTCTTCTCTCGACTCTCATTCTTTTCTTCAGCTTCATTGCTCCGCCAGACGCCCTTGCAACCATCGGCGCATGTGAGCCATCTCTTCTATTCTCTCTCTTTTTTAAGCTTTTAATTCATTTCTAGACTATTTTCTTTTAGAATTTGAATTGGTATTTTATATATATTGATTGGTGATTTAGTATTGTGATTTAGTTTGTAATGTTAAAACTATACTTTGGGTTTTGTAAATTGAATTTGCGATTTATTGAAATTGTAAATTTGGAATAATGCTTGGTTATTTGGGGGTTTGTTAATAGATTGTTATGAAACATTTTTTTAAACTAAAACAAAAGTCCTAACTATGCAAGATTTCGAGTTTGTGTGTGTTTTATCTCCACTTCATGTCTAAAATTCTTGCAATTATAGATGATCTTTCACAAGCATTATAGAGAAAGGATCACGATATTCAAAATGTTATGGCATTATTAAATTTGTGTAAGGTTGCATACAGAACAAAAGGGACAACGATTGCATAATTTATTGAGCAGGCTGATTGAGTTTTGTATTGGTAGACATATCGTAGTTCCCAATATGGAGGATATTGTAGTATTGAGAGGTTGACTTAGGAGTGGAGCTTAGCAGGTGACTTATTATCGNTGTAGTATTGAGAGGTTGACTTAGGCGTGGAGCTTAGCAGGTGACTTATTATCGTCACTTTGATGTTGATTTATATTGTCATGTGATAGATTCAATCTTGCAAAAGTTGAATGATCGTTTTCCAAAAACAACTACTAAACTCCTTTATTGAATATCTTGTTTGAGTTCAAAAGCCTCATTTGCATCTTTTGACATGGCTAAATTGCTGTCTTGCTCAATTCTATCCTTTGAACTTCACCAATGGAAAGCTCATATTACTCAGACCTCAACAAGTTTCTTATGTTCGTGAGAAGTGACAAAAATTTTTTTAACCTCAATAGCATATCTTGTGTAACTCAGAAGTTGGTTGAAGCAGGAAATTCTTGTTATTTTTCATCGGTTTATAGGCTCATCATATTGATTTTGATATTACTAGTGGCAGATACAAGTGTTGAAAGGGCATTCTCTGCTATAAATCTAATCAAGAGTAACTTACACAAGAAAATGAGAAATGGCTCATTGAGTCACAATTTGGTGGCGTACATGAAGTGAAATATTTTTGAAAAAAAATGAGAATGGGACAATCTTGCAGCCTTTCAAAATATGAGAATCCGGAGAATGCAACTCTGAGCTTACGGTTACGAAGTGAAGTTGTATCATGTAGTTTTTTCTTATTATTTTGGATTGTATTGAATTATATTTTTATATGTATATGACTTTTACGTTTTAGTGCATTTATATATTGATTGAAGAATTGTTAATATTAATTAATTAAATATTAATAAATAATCTCATTATTACGATCATTGATGGTCGACGGTCATCGTAGCTCACCAACATTTTTGGATCTGTCACCAAGCACAGGGTAGCGATGAATACCAAGGAGGGGGTGTCAAAAGCTAGGCTTAATAAGGACTTTGAATCTCTCAGAGACAAAAAATTAGTTAAGAGATATGATTACTGCTTTCGTCAAAGTTAAGACTATAAGTGTAATTTATACTAACAGACTTTTTCGATAAAATTCATCCAAATAGACCATTTATGCCAAAAACGAAAATATTTGGGATC